GAGATTAAGTTGCTTCTATATAAAGAGAGAAGAGATGTTATTACACATTATTATTGAAAACTGATCAATTATATATATATACACACACACACACAAAATACACTTTATATAAATAAATGTGCTTACCTCCAAAGAAAATACAACAAAGAAAACCTGAATTCCAACAAAAGCAACTACCATTAAGGAAAAAAAATCACCATTCTCATTTAAACAAAATATAAATGAAAGTAAAAAGACAATATTCAGTTTTGACTAACAATTGAAAGATGGATGTGCTTTATGTATTTAATCATGGTATACAAGTTTGCAAAAGACTCAGGAACTCTAGGTACCAACTCTGTACAAATAAAGACCAAATGTACAATGGGTTTCCAGTGTATTTCAATTGTTATAACACAGTCAGGACCCCATGACATTTTGCAGGACTAGTGTTTTCTGTGTGTCACTAGACTAAGTGGTTTCACCGTAAACAGAACTAATACCTGAAGCAGTTTTGCAGCATAGTATGCACCAACATCCTTTAGTAGGTTATATCTAACATCCAAACCTAAAGGACACAGATGAATAAAAGTTGATATTCCTTACAAAGAATACTTAAAATCAGGAAAATGAAAAGCAGAAAGTATTGATTCTTAAGGAAACATACCATTAATATATAGATGATTCTTTAAAATTTTGGAAACAATCCAAAAATCTTCACCTGTTACTCTTTCTACTGGCACTAAGCGATTGTTACCACCAATGTTTAATGTTATTCCTTCTTCCAGTCTGTTAAAATACACAAAAAGATTCTGAAATACAAAGAAACCGAGTAAAGAAGTAAAAGTATCTTTGCTTCATGTGTAAATATTAATAGTAACATCACTGATAACATTACTGGAACCAAACATGCAGTAGACTTATAAGTATAAAGTAGATTTAGACAGGTAACTTAAAACTGCTAAACATTCTGCAGCTTTGCAAAGCACTTTAGTATGTACTATATAATTTAATTTCCCACACATGAAAAGTATACCCACTTTATAAATAATGACGTTGAAAACGTCAATGTTTTGCCTAAATTCACCCAGCTTACAGTTAAATATGAATCTGGAGCCCAGACTCGGGGATTCCTGGTCTAGTACTCTTTCTAGTACACAATTCCACCTCTAAGACCTACTAACAGTATCACTTATCTACTTACTTACCTGAATCAAAAGGCATTTCCATTTTACTGAGCATTTTCAAATGGCTATAAAATCACTTAGTATTCCAGGATTTTCACACAGACGAATATCATTAAACACTATAGATGTAACCAAGTATTTGTCTTTCTTACCCCTTTTGAACTTGTTCATCCACTTCTTGGAGTATATGCAATATAAAAGGATTAACATTCTGGGATTTTTCCATACACAAATTATAATAATCTTC